TGGGCTCTCGAAGGCGCTGCCGATGGTGGTGACCCGAATCGACGACGAAGAACTTCACAAAACGGACCCAATTCTCTGCAGGTATAGAAAATTGTCCTTCGATTCTATTGGTTCAGACGGAATTTAACTCATCCGCTATAATTCTCGAGGTGAAAGGTGGAATTCCCGTGTAGGAAAAGAAACGGATGACCAGGGGGGTCGACCTCGAATTATGACCATTTTGTTCCCAAAAAGTAAAAGACATAAACCAATGATTCCAAAGATTTGCAATCTACCAGGCCCCTTATTGTATGGCAAGCCAAAATGATTGGAAAAAATGGTCCTCACCTAATCATTCTCAGACAATTCGGATATCTTTTAGAGAGTTTTCATAGGTCGAGATTATTTCTGTGGATAAGCATCCTGAAAAAGAAAAAAGGAAAAAATGATTTTAGCGGCATGAGGAGATGTCTCGAATGTTGACTGGCATTGCTGATGGAACAGATGGAACCTTAAGGAGGCGTGCTAAGCCTCCCAGCGATACGAATGCTAACAAAGGTTTGTTTTAATAAAACTATCTGATGAGATCTTATGATGTATCTCACGTTTTCCTTTTTATTTCTATTGACAAATGCCGTTGGTCTCACGCTTCAATATCCTCTAATAACGCCACGCCGCATTTGGTATTTATTATGCTTTGGATACATGACAAGTGGCCCAATATGAGCTTACAGCCCGCCAATCCCATCTACCTCATGGTCAGTATCAGTGGGCGGAGCTAACTGACTTAAATTGTTGTTGAGCATATGGATGGGCGGAGTTGACAAATCCAAGCTGTTGCGCGATACTCAAACATTAGAAGAACTCGAAATTTTATGAACTGGTAATCCTTTTTTGCAGCCGTAATTTATTACGCAAAACCTGATGAATTTCGCTGCAAAATTCACAAGCGGACTTCCTTGCACCCCTATTTTTTTGGAAAATATTGTATCAACTATTCCATAATGATTAAGGAAACTTCAATTTCTAGGATTTTGCGACATCTCCGGATCTCTGAGAAGGGTTGCTTAACACCTATATTCCTCATTGAGCATGATTCTCACTGCCATTAAGCGTAGTAGTTATCAACTAGTTTTCACGACACGCCACTGTTAAGAGAACGCTTTAGCATGCTGAGCAGTGGCTCTTTCGAATGGGCACTAGAGTAATAGAATCTCTCTATGAATCAATCTGATAGGAAGTCATATTCGTTGAAACATTTACACTCCCCTAATCTTGTTTCATTTCAGATCCCAATGATCCGGCCAACGATTCTCCTGAAGACGAGATCCTCAACGGGCTTGTCAAGGCAGCCACCTTGCAGTCCGAAACACGCGACCACCGACGAAAGGCCCGACAGTTCAATCGCAAGTCATGTACGTCTCGTTTTATACCCAAACCACTAATAGAAAGGTAGCCAGGTCCTCAGCTTCAGTCTTCCAATGACGCAAATAGAGGGACCCGGTGTTTCTTGATATCAGCGCCTAAAACCGACCTAAGGTGTACTCTGTTCTCTCTGTTTATCAGAATAGCATGCACTTTCAACGGAAAGGATTTCAAAATGAGAGAAGTAGTGATGAGCTTTATGTAACCTTTCTGTCTAAGTATGATTATTGAGCGTTGGGTTCGTGACATGCTCTAGAATCTCGCTTGAAACTTCTCGAAAAAAGTTTTTTTGATGCTGGTGTGCGGCGCAGTCTCTTGCAGTTGCAGGGGCGGAGGTGGTGTAGTGGCAAGTGGCGCACTATATCACACGTACGTTCAGGGGTCGAATCCCGGATCGATGCCCGCCTAGGCTAACCAAGCCTTCCATCCCTTCGGGGTCGGTGAATTGGTACGAGACTCGTCTGGGAGGATTAAAGCACTGACTTGTACATCGGCTGGCCACCGCAAGTCATTGTATAGGCCACATACGCACTCATTACGCCACTGCGATTCTGAATAGAAGTAGAATTCGGAGCGCATCCCTCAGACGGGATTGATTAACGCCAAAAACTTTATCCTTTATCATATCTTTTTCTGCAAAAAGAATAAACCGTCCCGCCTCTCCTCTAGCGGATGTAAGCGTTTAAGCAGATCATTGCTCTAACTGTAGGGGAAGTCCGTAAGAAAGTTCGATTCTTCTGAAAGCAATAATCGCATGTACTTCAGACTTTCAATTTCAGTACGTCGTACGAGGACGTTGAAGCTGGTCGACGGTCAGCTGGAGACGAACTACTGAGACGACGAGAATCTGATCGGTCTCGTTAGAACGCTTCATCTACCGTTCCTCCATCACCTTCTAGTCGCTGTACACTGCCTTTCCTTGTATGAATAATGTCTTGTCTCGTCGTTGTTAACTTCTTTTAGAAAAGTCTGTACGCTAGAGCATCGAGCATCTTTGTCCTCACTGGTATCGTTTTTGTTTTTTTTTGTAGAGCTCTTTCTATGAAGAGAAGCATAATTGTTTGGCTTTTAATTGTCCCTATCTCCTTATTTTTTCTCGTTTTCGATTTATTTTTATTGTCATTTTTGTCACTATCGTGTTATCGTTATAACATCATCATCTCTTTTCTCGTCTTCTTTGATTCGGATATGCCGCCGGTAAGCGGGTGGTCTGCTCGTTAGCTCGAAAAACTCGGAATATTTCGCCTCTTAAACACTTGACAAGTGCCCTGTGAGATTATTACAATTGCTACGCATTGTTGTACAGAAATTTTTGAATAAATATTATAATGAAGTCTTCTAAAAGATTCAGTTAAAGTTTGAACCAATCCCAAGGGACCCCATGTAGGAAGTTCAAACTACTTATCATGACCCATAGTGCCAGTGAAGGGCAGTTCTGTACAGTTCTGGCTTAACGTAGTCAGCTCCTTGCGCAATTGCAACTACTGAAATCTCGTCCGAGTAACCCAGGTTCTTTCCGTCATGGTAATCTCGTCCAACCATTATTTTCCCTACTTTTGAGGAGCCTAATTCTTCTGGAAATCGGCGAATTTCCTCACTATCTTCACTATCGAACTATTCTCAACCCGTACTTCCGCTCCTCGATTAAAAAGGGATACCTCGAAATTATCGTGAACTGTGCCTTCAAATAATATATGGTTCATTTCTTCATTGAATTCGACCGTTAAAATGAAAAATGTACGTTAAACCACAGTGAAGGACCTCAAAGAAGCTTGTGAGAGCTGTAGAGGTGAACATGGGTCACGTTCTTGCTCCGAAGACATTTTCCACGAATAGGAGCCCCGCGGGACTGTGAGAAGTGGGTAACAGTGCGGAGTAACCTACATGAGAGACCATGTCCAATTTCCAATTTGATCTAGCATGGTCCCTCAATGTCTTGGGTTCCATTTTCGATATTTGTGAGTCATACCTGAACAAGGTCAAGGTTGAGAACACCGTTTAAACAGGATGAATATGAAATAATTTCCGGCCTACAGGCTCTGACGAAGGCGACTGGTCTTGTCGTTGGTCTACTTCAAATTATAAAACTCGGCCAATGTTTCAGAGAAGTTCACCCAAGAAATCCAATATGCTTTTTCTTGCCTGAAGACCCGTCCACGATAATTTGGGAGCATACAGTTTTAAACGAATTATGGGTGTGATAGTATAGAATTATACAAAAGTGGAGAAGAAAACGTGGAAATCGGCGTATTCAGAGAAATACAAGGCTTCAAAAAAGTAATAAAATTAGATCTCCCCTTTCTTTTTTTGGAAATAAACTAAACGTAGGTAGTACAGTACCAGGAGACACAGTATCACGCATGGTCCGCGTGTCATGATCCCAAGCCAGCAAAGCCATGTTTCTCTGAGGTTGGGTAACTATTATCGAACTCTTGTGGGAATATAAAATCACTGACTTATGCATCGTCTGACCTTCAAAATCACTGAATATATTGGGTTGTAACATGAGTTCGTAGAGTTTTTTTTCACAACGATTTATTTGAAACAATAATAATTATTATAATAATAAATTATTCAATATATCATTACAATAATCAGCCAATTTACGAATTGTCTGGCAACCATCTTCCTTCAATAGTACCTCAGATGCTCTTCGTCGAATTCTGCAGCTCGTCCGCTTCGAGGCGTTC